TGCCAATTTGGGTATTTTTTCACTATTTTGGGTAAAAAAATTTTCTGTTTGCGAAATTTTAGTAAAATGAAATTCTTGGAGAAATTTTTGGAAAAAAATGAATTGAGTTTGGAAAAATTAGGGTAATATTTTTTTTAATTCTGGGTAATAATTTTAGTATATGTAATGTAAAATTTGGAAACAAATCTGGCAACTCTGCTTCAAACAAAACGCAGACATGTAACAATTGCGTCTTCACTGCGACAGCTTAATTCGAAGTAACACAAGTAAATCCGCGCGCGTAAATGATACCGTTTGTTTGTTTAATGAACTATATAATATGATTAATTTAGATTTGCATTCATTATATTTTCATTGCATGTTACCGTTTACTTATGAATTTGTTACCAATGTTAATTACATGCTGATATTTAGCCCCGACCTTGATGCACTGTTTAGTTAGTTAGTTTGCATTTGTTATATACGTCGATCAACGAGATTAAGCAACTTGTGTGCATTTATTAGAATGGGTGGACACCTATTTGAAACTGCATTCATTTATTTTATCCAAAACAAGATAATAAATATATAGCAAGTCATTTGAACGAATTACAATAAAAAAAAAATATTGGGAAAAGTTGCTTATAGGGAAAAAAGGAGTATAAAAATACTTACCGTTTGGAAAATATTTTTACTCATTCTTTTACTAACTAAGAATAGTAGAATAAATAAAATATAAAGAATGTTGCTTATAGAGAGCTTGCTTATATAGAACGTTCATATATATATTTATATACGGCGGTCTATAAATAATAAAAACAATAAATACTCTTTTTTACTATTGGGTATTAAGATCCCGGGATTGATCACGATCTCATCTGATGGAAAGCAATGATGTGACTCGTAAGGTGAGATGGGGCTCGCAGGCCCACGAATAGTCTATTCATATTTGCCTTAAATTGGTGCAGATTATATTTGGTTGGATAAACATAATATTTTTTTGTATTCGTCTGCTTGGGTACCCTTGTCCCATTTGTATCTTTGTATGGGGTTCTTCAAAAAGGGTGTATTAAGGTTTCTTCAGAGTCGGCAACGCGCACTGCGTCCATAGGCTACAGTGACCGTTTACTATCAGACGGGCTGTATACTTTTGCCACATTCATGATATAAAAAAAAAAGAAAAAAATTAAAATAACAAAAATATCCTAATAAAAATCCTGTTAATTCGTAATTAATTATTTGTTTCAACTATTGACATTTCTATTTACGTACTGATTAATTATTCACTTTTAATTTATTACCTGTTTACTATATCGACTAAGAATAATTAATAAGCTAAATTAATTAGTTTAGTTACCATAACTTTTTTTATTGTTGTTTCGGCCTTAGAAATAAAGTTTCTGGCTTGATGAATGAACGAATGAGTATATTTTATTTGCATTATATTATATTAGAAATAAAGTATTGATTTTTATTGTATTTATGATTTATTATGTTAACGATAGCTTACACATAAAATTATATGTTTATAGTATTAATAAGAATCGGAAATAAGCAAGACAATTAATAATTGTTACGTTTCCAGAGGGAGACTTTGTACAAAAGTCGTTTTTTTGTATTGTTGTATATAAAAAAAAACAGCCCATCTGATGGCAAGTGGTAACCGTCGCCTATAGAAATGAGCAGTACCATGGACATAACAGAATGTACTGTTTCGCCCATGATACCCCCCCTGCGTTGCCATTCCTGAGGACTCAGGTGTTATTCCTCTGTACCCTGTAAATTCACGCCATATCCTATATATATATATATATATATATATATATATATATATATATATATATATATATATATATATATATATATATTAAAAAGATTAAAGGCTCCAAAACAATATTAATTTATATTCTTTTTACTTGTTTCCTGTAGATTATATAGATAGAGAATCAAGCCTCAACGAGTCAAATTAGCTGACTTATTTTTTTTTGTGTTCTTTTTATTAGTGTTCTATATACTTACGCACACAACGTAACTTGACGTATCTATAATTAATTACTTGATAAATAAAATGATTTTTTTTTTGTGAATCTAAGTCTTATTTATAATAGGATTTAAAGACAAATTCGAAATTTAATATTTACATACCTCACGGTTGAATACAAAGATAGATAGATTATATTTGAGCCATTTATGACACACGTAAATTAACAAATGAATTCAAACAATAATTTTTTTTATAAATATAAAACAAAAGATAAAATATTAAAATATGTTTTCGCCATGTGTGTCGCAGTGACCCAAATAGGCTACAGCTCAGTGACGGTTTTGCTTAAAAGCAAACCAGTAATTTTCAGCTGCAGCCTGAAGTTAGGCTACACGGACGCGTAATCCAGATTGTAGATTCTGTTTTTAACATTAAATACATCTGTATTCAAACAAATAAAGTTATCATTCATTTTTAATTTATAATACAAAAAAAAACAAAAGGGATGTGTCCTATTTGCAAGAGACAAATGCTATATTTATTACCTAGTAGAGTTCATTAACATTCTATATAATTAGATTACACAATATGACCTTATTTGGTAAACGAAAATGTAATTGTGATTTAATTTGCATGAGCTCAGTTGCGAAGATACACATGTAAATATATACACACATTCCTGAACCACATTTTGTGTTACTCTATGGCACACGCATTAAAAAGTAAATTGTTGTTTTATCTATTTTGCTTTTCGTTGTTTTTTTTTTTTGTTTTTCATTCTTTTATCTTTTTTACGGTGTACGTTTGTCTGTATTATGTGTATGTTTGTATTGTAATTTGTGTGATGTAAGTAATGCAAATAAATTATCTATCTATCTATCTTAATATACGATCTACTTGGTTTGGTGTTGCTATCCGATTGAACGTTTTAACTAGGAAATTTTAATATACTACACTCCTCGCAAAAATTAAGGGAACATAAAAATCATTGAAATTTTTGGGTGATTTTCAACAGGCTGTATATCAGTGAAAAATAATCGTACAGGAAATTTAAAAAAAGGGTTTTGAAGCTTGAAAACTCTAGTTTTCAGATTTTTTGGTGAAAAAATTTTTTGAGCTCCGGTTTCCATGCAATTCTTAAACAAAGCTGAAAATAATTTTTTTCTAAATTTTCTAGGTTTTGTTTTTCACTCTATGGGCATGGAAAAATTTTTTCGAGCTACTCCATTGTATAGGTCTCTTAGCGTGTTTATTCAGCTTCAAAAATCGCTTTGGATGGCTCAATTACGACCATTTGTCTCCGAGATATCGAACTTTGAATGCAAAAGCATCCTTTTCCATTCAACTGCTAATATCTCTGGAACTACTGGTCGCACAGCAAGCGGGCGCCGAGTTTCTTTATCTGCATAAAATTTTCTTGATTTTTTTCGATTTTTTTTTGATAATGAATTTTTAAAAAACAAAAAATTGAGTAAAAAGTGAAAAACAAATGAAATTATTGATTTTTGAATGGATTAGGGTGAGTTTAAGGGACAAAAACCTTGTTCTCTTATTTTTTCCAAAATTTCAATCAATTGGTCCGGGAAAAACCGTTGAACCGATCGCTCCAGGGATTTGGGGGGTTCTTTAAGGAACAATAGACTGTAAAATTTTCCTCAAACCTTAGCTTTCCCGCCCATATTAGCGAAGATACAGCCAAGTAACCAAAAAAGGAGAAAAAGTCACTTTTTTCCACTTTTTTCAATTCAATGTTAGAGGTGGAAAAAATTTTTTCTTCACTAACTCTTGACTGTGCTTAATTGGAAATTTTATGCAAATAAAGAAACTCGGCACCCGCTTGCTGTGCGACCAGTAGTTCCAGAGATATTAGCAGTTGAATGGAAAAGGATGCTTTTGCATTCAAAGTTCGATATCTCGGAGACAAATGGTCGTAATTGAGCCATCCAAAGCGATTTTTGAAGCTGAATAAACACACTAAGAGACCTATATAATGGAGTAGCTCGAAAAAATTTTTCCATGCCCATAGAGTGAAAAACAAAACCTAGAAAATTTAGAAAAAAAAATATTTTCAGCTTTGTTTAAGAATTGCATGGAAACCGGAGCTCAAAAAATTTTTTCACCAAAAAATCTGAAAACTAGAGTTTTCAAGCTTCAAAACCCTTTTTTTAAATTTCCTGTATGATTATTTTTCACTGAAATACAGCCAGTTGAAAATCACCCAAAAATTTCAAAAAATTTTATGTTCCCTTAATTTTTGCGAGGAGTGTAGTTCTCTACTCTAGGTTCGCATGGTTGAAAACCGTATGTACAAATCCTTTGAAAAGAAATGTCTAAATGACAGTGAAATCCCTCTATTGTGATGTTTTAAAAGGGACGCTGTTGCACATCCGTGAACCATTTAGTTCCCTTAGTCGCCTCTTACGACACACACGGAAAAAGGAGTAGCCAGTACCATATGCTAAAAGTATCATATGTATTAATTTAGAAAGGGCATCGTCAATTTGCATACCAAATTTCATTAAAATCTGTTAAGCCGTTAAGCATGATTGAGCACCTAGTAAACATCCAAACATTACAACCATTTATGATAATAAATATAATATAATAACAATAATTTTAATATCATGATTTCCCCTTGAGATGAGCAAAGACGTAGTTCTTTTCTCAGTTCTTATAAATACTTGCTTAGTTTTTTCTAACGACAAAATAACACCAATCAATTACAATAATACCTTCTTACATTAATTTTGGCGGATAATACTGTCAAAATTTATTTATTTTATAATAATGTATCAATCGCCATTTGATGGGCATTTACTTTATTTCATTTATACATGTAAATGCACAAAACTCTTTTAGTGTATTACAATTTAATAAGTGAGAACAACTTAATTAAGCAATTTGAATTTATGTTTAGTTGCTAAATACGAACACGTTTGTTTAAAAATAAAAAAGGTGAAAAAAAATAAATGCCAATGACCTAAGTTCGTTAACAAAATAAAGTTAATTATGTTAACATATGTTCTCTTTGTTACAGGTGAAACAGATCGAAACAGAAGAGCATGCAACTGAAATAAACACGAACACTTTTTTTTTATTATAAAAACTATAAACAAGATGGCGCCGCAAGAGCGAACTCCTTGTTGCGAGCAGGAAGATTCCCGCGCAAATACGACCATAGACAATAAACTCTCAGATATTGATTTAACGAGTGGTTTTGTCAACAAAGGCTTCGTTAATGATAGCACAGATAATACAACGAACCAGAAAGTCAATGATAAAAAAGATGATGACAGAGGACATAAAAAAGCCACTGATTTCGATGATCTATTGCCATATGTAGGAGAATTTGGACTATATCAAAAGATTTTGTTTTTATTAATGATACCGTTTGCATTTTTTGTTGCTTTTGTATATTTCTCACAAATATTCATGACCATAGCGCCTGAGCAGCACTGGTGTTGGATACCGGAGTTGGCGAACTTGACCGTGGAAGAAAGGTAAGATAATTAAATATACACTTTACTAAATTAACAATAACAATTATAATGCATAAACGATAAGTCATTACGAGATAAGTTGCCATTATTATTTCATTCAATACCAATAGCTACATCTCCCTCAAAGTGGGCTACTAAATTTCTATAGTACTTTATCTGTGCCAGTGCCCATAGACTTCTATTTAAAAAAGTTTTCTTTAATGACTTCCAAAAGGAGGTGGTTCTCGATTCAGTTTTTTTTTCTGTTACACAATATCTCACAGTACACGGGCATAACACCATAGTGCCCAAGTATGGTAATATATGTGTGTTACAGTATATTCTACAGTGTCTATAGTGCTGTTCATATCTGTAGGCGACGTTTTCCATTCTTCACTACATAGTATAAAACAAAGTCGTTGTCACTATCTGTCCGTTCCTATGTATGTATCTTTAAAACTACGCAACGGATTTTGAAGGGGTTATTCAAAATAGATAGAGTAATTCAAGATGAAGGTTTATATGTATAATACATGCATAATATAGTAAAGAAACACTGATAATTTTAGAGGTTTCTAATGTGATGTGATGTAATGTGCACTCGTGTGAAGCCGGAGCGGTCGCTAATAGTTGTATGAAAGAAATGTTAGCTAAATCTAAGCAAATTTTAATAATTCTATTGATATTCTATATTTAACTACCATCATCTGTTAATTATGCATTACTGAACACAGGCTTTTCCCATAAAGTGAGATGTCTGTCGGAGATTCTGAATACCCCCTGCTCTACCGTTACCTTGGTCAGGAATAGCAGAGTCGCAGGGGACTGAGGGCCTTTTGATGTAAACCATTGGGGGATTTTGCCAATAGTTGTCACGGTTGGCAGGCGGATTGGCAACCGCAGTTAGGCTTTGGTACTGTTTTAAAAGGGAAGCTGCAGTTTATTCCTAAATCATTAAGTTCCCTTAGTCGCCTCTTACGACACCTACGGGAATGGAAGGGGTGACCAATTCTGTATATTCCTGAAATACAGATCTCTGATCTAGTTTAGCGTCCAGTCGCCCACAAGTTTTACAGACTGGAAAGAATATTTTAACGAAATTTCAAAAGAAAAAGGCATTTGGTACAAAACTATTCAGGCTGAACCTCCACATATTCCTTGGTTTTGTGGAATTAAAATCAATAGGTACTGTATTAAATTAGCTGTTCATCTACGATCTGATCATTATCCATCAAAAAAATTTGCACATATGACGGGAAAGTCCTTGTCACCCCATTGTCAAACTTGTAATACCATCGATGATGTGCATCATATTCTATTAGAGTGTCGTATTAACACGAAGGAAAGAGAAGAATTCATGCGCCACTTTAACTTAAATAAATTAAATGTTGATCTTATTCAATCTATGTTAGCTGAACTTAAACCAGAAATTTTTGAACATCTGTGTAAATTATTGATGCCCATTAATTCTTCTCTTTCCGCGTCTAGGGAAGGTAGATAAAGTTTTGTTGGAGAAATCAGTTTAGGGTACAATAGGACTGATATACCTGAAGAAGGTAAAAGCCCTTAAAATATTAAAAAGAAAAAAAAGTTTTACAGACCATTGTAATCATACATACATTATATAGTTGTATTTTTTTCATGTAACTGTATTTTTCTGTTTAAATTTGTGGAGAAAATAAATAAATGAAAAAAAAAATTCTGTGCTAAGACCACGCGGCGATTTTAGGTATACCCGTGCAAAATACTAAAAACATTCTTGCTGATTGTAAACGGATTTGCAAATTAAGTACTTAATTGGCGTAAATCATCATACACTTCGTATCAATTATAATGTATTAATTACACGCAGACAAAGACCCCACTGTATCTGAATAAAGTTCTGATTACACAACGAAAGAGAAGCGATATTTTTTTATCGCTGAACGATAATAAATTTTAGAATATATTCCAAAAAAAAATCGAATTTTGTTAAAATTAATATGAAACCAACAAGAGAGAAAAATCAGATCAGTCGTTAGGCCACTGCTTTGGGGGGGGGGGGTTGTCAGTAATCACTACGTTTAACAGGTGGGTTAAGAACCGCGCTTAGAGTATAGTGACATTTTAAGATGGATGCTGCTGCCCATCCCTCGGTTATTAAGTTCCTTACAGGCACGGGAAAGGAAGAAGTGGCCTATTCTTGTCTCAATACACAGAGTAAACAAAATTCAGTGAAGGGAGTAAAATAAACTCATTTAATTTAAAAAGCAATTGCCAATCAAAGCACAATCGAGCAAAGTATCGCATCAAAAGTAAACATTTCAAGTCTATTTAAAAAAGTCTGTTGACTCTTTGAGTAGGAATTCCGTAACTTACAAAACAATACTGACGATAATAGAGAGGCAATTCATTATTTTTTTATCTAAAAGGATGTGCTTTTAGTTTTGTTCCACAGAAATTTCAGCAAACATTTTAGCAGTTCAGTTTTATTTAGATATTTATTTATTTAAACTTCAATGCATAGTTTTATAAGTAAGTGTATATATGGCGTATTTAACATCTAACGGCGGTTTTTACTAGTCGACCATGAGGCAAGCAGAAAATTATGTAGGCAGTGCATTTGCTACTAAAATAAGTACAAATATTGTTACTAATATGTGTATATTTCAACCTGTATTTATGTTACTGTATTTCATTTGAATTATTCACTTGTCATTGTATATTTTTATATATGGTGCAATAAAGAGTTAAATAAATAAATAATACATATATCGTCATAGTCGTAGAATACTGACGGATCTTTATATGTAATATTTGTCAGATCCGTCAGTATTCTACGACTATGACGATATATCCATAAATATATATAGTTTTCAAAATCAAAATCGCTAGTTTTGTCACAATTGAAGTCGGTGCTTTTTGTGTGAAACAAAATCACTTATAAAATAACATAAGAATGAATCATCATCATCGTATTAGCCCTTAACTGTTCACTGCTGAATATAGGACTCCGAAAAAGATGTTCCCAATAGTTGCCACGCTTATCATCCGCAGTTAGTCTTTTGGTAATGTTTTAAGAGAGATGCTGCTGCCCATCCAACGACTATTTAGTTCTCTTAATCACCTCTTACGAAACCCAAAGGAAGGTAGAAGCGGCCTATTCTATGCTAAGACCACACAGTAGAATAGAATTAAGCGTACACCAGGGCCTTTAGACAAGTGGCAAGAGAAGTTGAAAATGAGATAGAATGAGATAACAACGCCGGGTGACTCATCCCAACTCACGGACTCGCTAGCGATGTCGACTCCATCGACGAATTCGCTTGCCACTTGTGTAGAGGCCCAGATGTTTTGTGATTTTCCATCAGTTGGATTGTCAACAAACGGTCAATAAATTGTTCCGAATTGCACAAAAATCGTATCGCAATTATCGCATCGCTTCGTAATTAGTACTGACTTTATATGTTAATGCGCGGTCGAGTGATCAAAGATAAAGATCAGTTGTCGATTATCAAGTAACTGGTTATGCATTGGCTCTTACAAAAGTTTTCTTTGTGTACGAAGTTTACTTCAACGGTTAACCGTTGAAGTAAACTGCATTGAGTAAATAATTAATGTTATAACAAAAGATAACATCGGGCCTTTTGAAAAAAGGAAGCGATAACGATTTTCGAAAGTATGTCGAAAACTTTTAATTGACTTCGAAAAAAGAGGTCCTCGATTCAGTTGTGTTTCTTTTATGTTCGTTGCCTCAGAACTTCGTCATTTACAAACCTATTTTGGAATATTCTTTTTTATCTGAAAGGACACACTTTTAACCTAATTTCATAAAAAATTCTTCAAAATCGATGCTGTAGTTAGTAGTTTTTAAATCAAAATAACTGATTTTAATGATTTTATTTATTTATTTATTTCTAACTATAACATTTAAGTCGATTGGTACACATGTATGACTGTAACCACTAATAAACTGTCAGTTTATCTCATATTGGGTTTGCTGGAAGAAATCTCTTTTGGAGATAAGCTCGCCTTTATGCACTATTATGTTTGTTTTTTTTTTCTGTTTCAATTACCTTTTATGTACAATAAGAATTAAAAGAAAGAATTAAAGAATTGACTCTTTTTTGGTGAAATAAAATCTATTATACGAAGGAAAATGTACTAGTCAAAGATTTTCATTATATCAGCCTTTAACTGTCCACTGCTGAACATAAGCCTCCCCCTTGGGGGTTTTTTTATGAATGATAATGAAATGGTAACCCCGTCTGAGTTAACGGTATACGCTGGCGGGGCACCAGTGAGGGATGATAGGTGAGGATGAAAAGACATGCCAGTTAGCCCATCGTGATAAATACACTTGAAATTCAGCACGATGGTTTCCAGGGGGGACCACGGGGAGGTCGACCCGTAAGGGTATATTGTTAGCAATGGGACTGATAATCCGCATTACTAACAATCCCTTCTCCCCCTCCCTTAGGGGGGTTTAGCCAGTAGTTGGCACGCTTGACAGGATTGACAATCGCAAAGTTAGGCTTTAGAGATGTTTTAAGAGGGACGCTGCTTAGTTGCCTCTTATGACACCCACGGGAAATGAAGGAGTGGTTTATTCCATGCTGAGGTCACATTGTAACTTCTATTTTAAGTCAGCAAAGATTTTCAACCGACTTAAAAAGAAAAAGGTTCACAATTCAGTTATAAGTTTTTTTTTTAATGTTTGTTACGTGTCATGGGCGAAACTCTTTTATGTCCATGGTACTGCTCATGTTTATAAACGATGGTTACCATTTTCAATCAGGTGGACCGTCAGCTTGTTATTCTAAGTTGCATTATTTTTTTTATACTACTTAGAATGGCAAACAAGTTGACGGCCCACCTGATAGTAAGTGGTAACCGTCGCCTATAGACATGAGCAGTACCATGACATAACAGAATATATTGTTTCGACCATGATACTCCCCATGCGTTACCATTCCTGAGGACTCAGATGTTATTCCTCTGTACCCAGTAAATTCACGCCATATCCCACCCTTCAAACCGGA